GAGAGAGGGGAGAGAGAGAGGAGAGAAGAGAAAGAGGAGATATACATATACATATATTGCAGGCTAACTTGTAGTTTTGTGCTTGCTTAGTATGCATGAAGTCCTCTTGGCTCAATAAGAGGAGAGAGAGGTAGGAGAGAGAGAGAGAAGAGAGAAAGAGGAGACAGAGAGGAGAGAGAGGGGAGAGAGAGAGGAGAGGGAGGAGAGAGAGGAGATATACATACATTGCAGGCTATCTTGTAGCTTATTGATTACTTAGCATGCATGAAGTCCTCTAGGCTCAATGAGAGAGGAGAGAGAGGAGATATACATATATTGCAGGCTAATATGTAGGTTAGTGCTTGCTTAGCATTCATGAAGTCCTCTGGGCTCAATGAGAGAGGAGAGTAGAGAGAGAGGAGAGAGAGAAGGGAGAGAGGAGAGAGAGTGGGGAGAGAGTGATGAGAGAGTGAGGAGAGACAGAGGAGAGAGGAGAGAGAGAGAGAGGAGAGAGAAGAGAGAGAGAAGAGAGAGGAGATATACATATACATATATTACAGGCTAACTTATAGCTTAGTGCTTGCTTAGCATGCATGAAGTCCTCTGGGCTCAATGAGAGAGGAGACAGAGGAGACAAAAGAGAGAGAGGAGAGGGCAGAGAGAGAGAGGAGATATACATATACATATATTGCAGGCTAAGTTTTAGCTTATTGCTTGCTTAGCATTCATGAAGTCATCAGGGCTCAATCCCCAGTACCTCCACAATGACACTATCTCTTGACTGGAAATGTAAGAAATTACTTTGCTTCAGAGTAGTAGTATAGCACACATAAAGAAGGCACTTTTGAGGTGTGAAGGATTCAATCTATAGTAGTATAGAGGTACATGGTTTCAGAACAAAACATCTCAATAACTTTTAAAATAACTAAATGTCCAATTTCTTTTCTTTCTTTTTTTTTTTTTTTGGTGTGTGTGTGGTGCTGAGGATTGAACTGAGGACTTCATGCATGTGAAGCAAGTACTCTACCTCAGAGCACATCCCCAGTCCTGTCCAATTTCTTTTGAAAAGGTCTTTTATGTTAACTTCAATTAAACAAAGCAAAACTATGTTTATTTACAGGTAAGATTACATAAAGGAGCCAGTATTTCTGATGCTTGGCAACCTAATACCTTACTCAAAAATTGTAAGCATCTTTTCCTTGAGAAATAATCCTTTCAACATTGAAAACAAATATAAGGAAGGCAACTAAAATCAGCAAAAATTAAATTCATTTACACTGTTTCAAGGTAACAAAAATACCTAAGATGTTAAGCATAATTTATAAACTGTTAGAATTAATAAATAAAATTATTTAAGGGGCTGGGATATAGTTCAGTTAATAAAGTGCTTGCCAAGCATGCACAAGGCCCTGGGTTCAATCCCATGCAAAACACACACACACACACACACACACACACACACACATACACACACACATTATTTAAAATGAATAGGCTATAAGTAAAGAAGGGACATAATGATAACTGCTTAGAAGGGTCATTTGAATAGCTACTGGGAGGATTAATGAAAACAGATCCCAAACTAGTTACCAAAATATATATATTTTCCTTAAACAAAACAACAAACCTTCAAATTTAGCAAAGAAGGCAGAATCTTCATAAGGAATGCAGTAGAGATCTCAGAGTACCAAGCTCCACTGGGAAAGTTACTTTTCCCAAAGGTAACTTTGGGAAATTAGGGTAGCCATCACTAAGTGGCCTCGGGAGGAGTTTTGTTTCCCTGTTAACATTCTGTCCTGATAACGTACAGTACAAGAAGGCTATTTTTAATTCCTCATAGCACAATTCAGACAAGGTGTCAAGATTTGAAACAAATTCACTGTGAGAAGAAAAAAGGGATAACAGGTGGTACTTAAAGGGCAGGTAGAGTCATGGCACAAAGGGTCTTAGGTGCCATGCTAAGCAACTTTACTTTCATGTGGAAGGCTATGCAAGAGTTGTAAGATCTTATGATGTATTTAGATATGTTTCTTTAAAAAAAAATTGCACAGATGGCAGTGGGAGAAGAATAGTTTCCATCTTTCTGTCTCAGGCAACCATATGGAAGATAATGCTAATCATTGGGGTAGAAAATGAAGGTAGAGGGGGTGCTGGGGTTGTGGCTCAATGGTAGAGCACTCGCCTAGCACATGGGAGGCCCTGGGGTCCATCCTCAGCACATGAATGAATGAATGAATGAATAAATAAATAGTATTGTGTCCAATCACACTAAAAAAAAAAAAAGACAAGAAAATGAATCTAGAGGGATAAGTAAGATATTCAAGGAGGGATAGGCTCCTTATGCATTCAAGGTGTGCAGGCTGAAAAGTAAGATCTGATTCAGAAATACAATTTTGTAGCCCACAGTGTGAACATTCTTGCTGAAGTCATAGGGCAGGTTTAATTCTTCATGGAGAACATGTTAAGAAGTGTCTCCTGTAGAATATCAACATGTAGGAAATGAATAGGAAAAGGAACCATGATGTTTGAGAAGATAGAAGGGAAACTCAGGGGAGTAGTATCTAAGGAATCAAGGAAAGAACAGGAATAGTGATTAACAAAATATTGTTTTTCCAGATGTCATTGGGATTAAATCCAGCATTGCCATTTATTAGCTATGTGACCACATCTGTAAAATGGATACAAAAAATAGCTAGTATTTCAAAGAGCTGATGTGCAGATCAGAACATGGCAACTGGCAAGAGATTATTGTACACTTTTAAACAAAAAGTATAGTCTTCGGCAAAAGGAGTTAAGCTTTCCATTATGAACTTTTAGAGGTCATTTAGCCTAGGGAGAAAAATATTTTGTGAAGTAGATCTTTCCTAGAGTTCCTAAATCATTAAGGTTTTCACTGATATAAGCAGCAGCACCACCACTACCACCACCAACAACAAAACACTGTTTTTAGGCGAAACTACTGTTCAAAGCACTTAAAATTGATTATTGTTATTATGCTTCCTTTCATAAATACAAGTCAGTCATCCAATCTAGGAATTTATCTTGTTAGAAGTGGACATCTAGATGGGAAAGATTTTTAAAGTATTTAAAAAAAATAGTATATATACACAATAGAATACTATTTAGCCATAAAGGATAAAATCCTGTCATTTAGGACAATATATGGGTGGAAATGGAGGATATTATGTTACGTGAAATAAGTCAGGCCGAGAAAGAGAAGTTCTATACAATCTCACTCAATATGGCACCTAAGAAACATGTCTTCCCCTCCACATAAACACACTTTCTATGTCCTTCCTTTGTTGTTCTTTTTTAAGTTTTTGTTTTTTGTAGTACTGGAGATTAAACCCAGAGTCTTGCACATGCTGGGCAAGCACTCTACTACTGAACTACATTCCCAGCCCTTTTTATTTTATTTTTTAAATTTTGAAATAGGATCTTTCTAAGTTGCTGAGGCTGACCTTGAGTTTGCAATCCTCCTACCTCAACCTCCCAAGTAGCTAGGATTTCAAAATTTCAAATTAAAAATATTACAAATCTCAAAAATTGAGAGTAGAATAGTGTTTACTAGAGTCTGGGGGAGACTAGGGAGGAAAAAAAGGAAGAGAAATATTTGATCAATGTACTAAGTTGCAATTAGAGTGGAGAAATAAATTTTGGTGGTCTACTGCACAGAGTAGGGTGACTATAGACAATGATAACACACTGTACATTTCAAAAGTGCTAGAAAAAGCTATGAATGTTTTCACCACATATGACAAATGTTTGAAAAGATACATACCCAAATTTCAACATTAAACAATGTATATACATGTATTGAAACATCCCAGCATACTTTACAAATATGTACCTTTTAAGTTCGTTAAAAAAATAAATAGAAGGGGAGGGAGTATGGGGGCAAGAAAGAAGATGGAAGGCAATGGATGTCATTACCCTAGGTACATGTATGATTGCACATATGGTGTGGTGCTGCACCATGTACAACCAGAGAAATTAAAAGTTGTGCTGCATTTGTGTACAATGAAATAAAATGCATTCTGATGTCATATATACCTAACTAGAATAAATAAACAAATAAATTTAATAAAAATAGAAAGAATTAACTAGAGACAGGTACGGTGGCACACACCTATAATCCCAGCGGCTGGGGAGGTTGAGGCAGGAGGATTGCCACGTTTGAAGCCAGCCTCATAACTTAGTGAATCCCATGGCAACTTAGACCTCAAAATAATAAAAGAAAAAGGACTGGGGATGTGGCTCAGTGGTTAAGAGCCCCTGAGTTCAATCCCTGGCACCAACCCCTGCAAAAAAATTAACTAGGTTTGGGGTTGTAATTCAGAAGTAGAATGCTTATCTATTGTGCACAAGACCCTGTGTTCAATTCCCAGCACCCACACACACACACACACACACACACACACACACACACACACACAAAAGAAAAAATAAAAAGTAAGTTAATTGGGCTGTGGATATATATCAGTGGTGGAATACTTGTCTGGCACTTTCAAGGCCCTGGCTTGATCTTTAGTACCATACGTACAAAACAAAAAAAATCAACCAATTAAGTTAAAAGTCATGCTAAAAAAATAAAATTAAAATACCTTTTAATAATTAGCATTAAAATCTTCTACAGGAACCAGGGCAAGTGATACAACCCTATAATCCCAGCTACTCAGAAGGCTGAGGCAGGAGGATCGCAAACTCAAGGTCAGCCTCAGCAACTTAGAAAAATATATTTCAAAATTTAAAAAATAAAATAAAAAGGGCTGGGAATGTAGTTCAGTTGTGGAGTGCTTGCCCAGCATGTGCAAGACTCTGGGTTTAATCTCCAGTACTACAAAAAACAAAAAATTAAGAGAACAATGAAGGAAGGAGATAGAAAGTGTGCCTATGTGGTGGGGGTAGACATGTTTCTGAAGGTCAGGGCTGCACTTCAGAGCACTTGCCCAGCACTCAGAGGCTTTGAGTTCCATCCCCAGCACTGCAAAAACAAACGCACACACCCCCTTCTGGAATCATATACAATTCCATCCTGAACTGAAGAGAAGTGGTGATGCTAAAAGACAGTATTTGGGACTTATTAAATTTGGTTTTTAGTGACTACTATTTAAAACTTCTTAGAAATGCCAATATGTTATTACTAAATTATTCTGATAGGAAATACTTAAAACAAAATTACCTAAAAAGTATCATATTAACTCGTTAATCTTAGAATCATTTAATAAAGAAGACAATAGCAATATAATTTAAGGAAACAGACTGGGAGTATAGTTCAGCTCCTGCTGATATATAAGGCTATAGATTGGATCCCAGCACCACCACCCTTGAATTAATTTAAGAAAATAAAGTCAATCAAATATAACATTCACTTCTATGTGAAATAAATGTCACTAAGCAAATCATATTTATTTGCTCTAGGTTTTAAAAAATACTGTTCCTATATCTTTGTTATCTCATACTGTTTAGCTTTAATTCTCATTAAAATAGCATTTGTTCTTCATGTCTCTCTGATCATTTTTCTGTCTTCTTGCTATGTAAACCTTTAATATTTAGCAAGAAGAGGTACCAAACATTCTGATGAATCAAACTAATAAATCCAATTAACATCTTCTGTGCAACCTGACACTAAATGAATAGTCCTAAAAAGAAACATCATAGTGTCTTTGATTTCAACTGTAGCCTATGTGGATGACAACTACAATGGGGACAATTTTAGTTTCTTGCTGTTGATCTTATTTGTATATTGTATGCATTCTCAGAGTTACAATCCTGGAAATATTTGAATATAATTCACTATAAATATTTAACAAAAAATACAGGAGTAGATACTTGAAGATTAATTTTGCTACTTGTCTTCAGAATTGAAGGATACCATCTGATAACTATTCTCAGTAGTTATCATGCTAGTACATGCTAGTACCAAACATGCTAGTACTTTCCTATATAATTAGGTACAAGAAAATAACTATAAAGCAAGAAGTATAACAGCTTTGTAAATTATGTAGTTATACTATATGTCTCCCAAACTCAAAGACAGTCTTTGTAAAAGGGTAATATTCATGAATCATATTGATGTGAATTCATTTACTAGATGAAAATTTATGGAACACTTACTAAATACACTGATAATGATCTCAGGTCACAGAAACATACATTATTCTAGACCTAGAGGGTATCAAAAGCCACAGAGCTGGACATAGTGGCGCACACCTGTAATCCCAGCTGCTTGGGAGGCTGAGTCAGGAGTATCAGGAGTTCAAAGCCAGCCTCAAAAAAACAAAACAAAACAAAAAAAACACATTGTGTTCTATTGGTACAAATATATTTTAATATGTGGCTTTAAAATTCTTTTTTTTTTTTTTTTTGGTACCAGGGATTGAACCCAGGGGCACTTGACCACTGAACCACAACCCCAGCCCTGTTTTGTGTCTTATTTAGAGACAGGGTCTCACTGAGTTGCTAAGTGCCTGGCCACTGTTGCTGAGGCTAGCTTTAAACTCACGATACTCCTGACTCAGTCTCCTGAGCAGCTGGGATTACAGGCATGTGCCACCGCCTGGCAGTGCATAGAATTTTAAGATAATAATGAACCTTAATGTATGCAAATTTTAGAAAATTCATTTAGGAGGTCAGGGATTCCAGTAAGGAATGTAGTCTATGAAGACAATCTAATTGTAATAACAAATAGACCACACTAAATAGCTGGGTAGAAAAGGTGCTGAACTTGGAATAGGTTTACAATTCTGATAAATCTATACATATACACTGGAATTGGTCAGTTAAATAAATAGATAGCAGACAGTGGGTACCAAGTTTCTTACTACTAGAGTAGGAATTTATAGATTAGCAAGGATAGGAGACTAGAATGATACATGTGGTAATGGACTAGAGTTGAAAATAATATACTTTTATGTTTAGGTTAATATACATGTAGCTATAAATGTTTAGATACATGTGTATATGTACATATCTGATAATGCATGTCAGGTGAGAAAGTCTATAAACAAGGACACATACAACGAATATACTTATGCCCAGATATTGATTTCTAGTACCATTGTCCAATAAAAGGAACCATTCAAGGAATAGCTAATTCTAGGACTGTTTTAAGAAATATACAAGGTAAGCATGGAACATCTTCTAGTGACAGAAAATTAAAAAGTGCTATAAAACAAAAATAAGTAAAAAATATCTACACTGATGGGGATGAGTCAAAGGACATAAGAGCTATCTTAAACAGTTCCCAAGAGCCAAACCTGGGGCAACTTGAGGAAGAAAATACATAAATTAGTTCTGAATTGTAACCCAAATGTAAAATAAGCACCCATCAGTCAATTTATAAATAAATGATTACTTGAACAAATAAATGGGGAAAAAAAGACAAAAATTTCTCTTGCAAGAGAATTCCAATTTGTTCACACAGATATTTTCCTCTCAACCTGGGGGAGCATAAATCCTTACTTCATAAGTGTGGGCTGCAAAAAGTATGCAAAAAGTACTCCAAAGAGTATGGTAGGGGATGGTGGGGGGGAATGACTTTTTAGTAGAGAAACCTAGCAACACACCTAAATTAGCCAAGTAATCAAGCTCAATATCAACAGAGAGAAATCATGTTCAAAGCATGTACCCTTGTTGCGATGTGTTGAAAATGGCACTTTACCTCTGTAACCTTACTCCTCCAAATCACAGTCTAATCATAAGAAAAACGTCAGACAATAATTACAAAAGAGGGGCATCAAATAAAAGTATCTGGATACAAAACCAATAACAAGAATAATCTGAGAAACTACCATAGCCAAAAGGAGCCGAAGACATGAAAAGGAAATAAAATGTGGTATAATGAATGGAATCTTGGAATGGAAAAAGAGGTTACATAAATACTGAATAGACTATGGAGTTTATTTAATAATAATGTATCAATATTGGCTTATAAATCATAACATTTATCATCTAAATGAAAGATGTTAATCATAGGTGAAACTGGGTACTGGATGTATGGGAACTCTCTCAACCATCTTCTTGATTTTTCTGTAAAACTAAGAACATCTTAAAAGTAAAGTGTATTTTAAAATAACATTAGAGTTCTGATTTAAAATTCCTGATTAGCAATTAGGTATAAAGGCAATCAAAACTGGTAGCTACCTGAGGAAAAAAGTCCTTAATGTCCTCTAATTCAAAAAGTCAATTAATGAAAAACCTTGAAAATTCCACAATTTGTCTATAAACTTTAAAGTTTAACAACAAGTTCTTCAAACCTACCATTTTTTTCTTCCATCTTTTGAAGTTGTTTATTAATATAAAATTCTTCAAAATTAAGTTATCAAAAGATTGATATCAATCACTTTGATTGAAGAATATTCCTGGAATCCAATTGTAGTCTTTATGAAATCTGTAGTCTTCACAACATTATGCCATGTTTAACCCAATATTCTTTGATATTTGAATTTTCAAATAGAAACTGGTTGAAGAAACTGTCATAAATGACCACTAGTCCAACCAAAAGACAGGTCCATGCATCTTCATTGAGTGAATATATAGTTGTATCAGATCATTGACAATATCTTTTTAAAGATAAAAACCAACTCCATCTTTTGGTCCTCAAAGTACATGAAACATTCTGTAACAAAAACAATAAAGAATGGTATATATTTATTTTTTTATTTATTTTTAAATTTTTATTGTTGGTTGTTCAAAACATTACATAGTTCTTGACATATCATATTTCACATTTTGATTCAAGTGGATTATGAACTCCCATTTTTACTGGTATATATTTATAAAGAACAAAACACACAGGGAAAAAAGATAGTTTTAACAACAGCTCTTTTAAAATAGCATAAACTATTACAAAATGTATAAATTACCAAAATTAGGAAAATTACTGAGCATCACCCATGATATTATCACCCATATATAATATGGCCATTAACGTTTTATTACATTAATAACCAGCAAACTATTCCCATTTTATACTTTGTAAAAATGTTTAAACAGGGATAATGATGCTAACTACCTTATAGGTTACTGTATGGATAAGACTTAATAATCACTTAGAATAGTGCCTGACAGAAGTGAAGGATTCAGTTAATACTAGCAATTATTACTATCCTTTTAGTATGTAATTTTTAAAAGTATAGATTATAGAATTTTTATACTTTTTCACTAGTAACATCAGGCACCCTCCCACATCATTAATATTTTTACATGACTCAATGGTTATATACTTCGGTAAATAATCCACACATTAAAGTATGTTAAGAGCCAGGTGCAATGGTGCACATCTATAATCCAGCTACTTGGGAGGCTGAGGCAGAAGGATTACAAATTTGAGGCCAAACTGGGCAACTTAGCAAGACCCTGTCT